GAAAAGTATGCACAAGCATCAGCCACGTGTCTCCACTCCAGTCCCATCCTAGAAACTCAAAATGATAACCTAGAGTTGTATCAGCAATTCATCAATGAAGTAAAACTATTATATGGAGCTGGCAAGTGGAACCTTCCCCCAATTTCAGCTCTAGTAATACATACCAAGTAGGATTTTATCAGGAATGTTTGCAGCTCAAGAGGAAGTTCAGCAGTGATAGTGTATACACTATACACAAAGTGTATAGACTAAAGCATTCAAAGGATCACCTTAAACTATTATATAATTACAAAAAACCAATGTGAGTCCCTTTTGAAACATATGAAGATCCATACCATTAAGAAGGAATGGCAGCTGGTGATCCAGTCAGTCAAGGAAAAGAACTCTTTTTTTCTAGTGAATTACAGCTCACAGTTTAGGGAAATCCCTAAAGATTTCAGGTTCCAGTACAAATTTGGAGGATTATTTCAGAGCCTTGTATGCTGAACCAATCCAAGAGACCCTCGAGATTATTGTGGTTTTTGATACCCTAAATGTTTGGCCACCAGTCTTTTCTACTGACATGGCCAAGCTGATTGATTGTGCCCTACCTGAACTACTTAAAATGAAATATGCATGTGTTGTGGAAAATGCAGAAGTACAGAGCATAACACCGAGGAGAAAGAACTATGTTTATTGCAACAATCGTTGGGTTCCACCCTGACAAGAAAAAGGAACCCCAAACAATAAGAAAGCAAATATTTTTATAGAGGTTGAGGGCTACAAGATGGGAAATCCTAGGGATCTGATTTGGTGGTCAGTTTTGGGGAAGCTAGTCATGTGCTTGTTCATGTACTTGCAGTTATTTGTTTTGTTAGGCAGGAGCAGCAGCAGAACAAGGAAAGCCCATTGTTAAGGAGAGGGAATGTTGAGGTAATCAGGCTGATTGAGGATGGATTGCAGTTTCTTACCTTCTTACTTTGTTGCAACTCCTTTGTTAAGACTGTGCACGGGTTGCACTGTGAACTGGTGAGCGAGGCTTCTATTCTTTGGTTGAGATGGGGTTGCAGGGGGCTTTGTCTGGGGCAGGGAGGGTCAATTTGGGTCTGATGGGATTAGGCAAAGAGAGGAGCTGGGTTTGACCCTGGCCATGTCTAAAAGACTGGGAGAAAAAAGGATGCAGACTCCATTTTGTTTATTAGATCTATTTTCTCCACCACTCATGGCAGGCACCTCTTCTTACCTCCCTCTTCACCTATATGAACCAGACAGGATATATCCTTAGTGATTAGGAGATAGCAATAACACCACTACACGAGATAAGAAACAAGGAAGACCCAGCTAACTATAGACTCATCAGTCTTCTTAGTGAACTATACACTAAGCATTTGAACCAGAACCCCCTAGATGGGATGGCATCTGAAGGCAGAATTGGAAAAGAACAAGCTTGTAAGCAGTAGACCACTTCTTCATGCTGCACCACCTAGTACAGAAACACATCCAAAAACTGAAACCTTCCCTCTATGTAGCCTTTCTCCAATGCATGATTGCATGTTATTCCATCTTGTCGTGGGAAAAGCTCAAAACTATAAATATTGGTAAGTGTTACTTTTAATAAAATGTGGAAGTTATATTCAGACACCTCCCTCCAAGTAGGAAGCCATCCTTACGGGTAGGTCACCCGATCGGCACATATAAAGAGAAGCGTTTGGCAGAGCTGTATTTTGGCCCTTGCCTTGTTTAACCTTTACACCAGCTCCATGACTACTGGAGGTCATAGCAGGATGTATTTCATAGATCTGCTCCAATAACATGTAACAGAAATGTGGTTTTCTCAGATATGCTACCTGTTCCACGCACAGGGTCAGTTAGAGAGGCGGGATAAGTAGTCTCAATGTGCGGATAAGACAATGGTGTCAGGACGAGGACAGGCTGCACTTGAACAAGGAGGGTGTCGGACTGCTGGCACATAGTATTTAAAATGTGTTACAATTGCTTTAGGCTGTTTCTGAAGGGAAAGCTAACAGGATGTAAGATTCATCCAGTTTGAGAAAAATCACTGTTAGATATGTTTTTCACTCCTATCTCTTCTTGTTTAACCACACACCCTTTCCTACTGCATTCATCATATTTTTATGTTTTTCCTGTTATACCCAAATACTATTTCTATATAATAAAGTATGCAGAAGCACACTCTTAAACACAGCCATTCTGCTTCTTCCAACAAACATTCATTCATTCTTCACATCAGATTGCCTTTTGCCCAGTCAACAAATGTGCAGCAAACTTTCTTTTCCCCATTCATGCATTTCTCCTTGAACTGCTAAAGTGCAAAAATCTGGTCAGTACATCCGTTTACCAGCATAAAGTCACACTGCACTTCCAGAAATCTATTTACTGTCATCTTTTGTATGCTTCCAATTAGAATTCTAATACTTTTCCAGGAACATTTAATACAATAATTCCCCTCACTCTTCTTACCCTCCCCTCTGTATAAGGAAACAATAAAAGCATTCTTCCAAACAAGCAACAAACAAGTAATGCACATTAAAAAAAGGTGGGGCTTCAATCACCCACTTGAGGTCACCATTTTGACATGCTGACCCCCCCCCCCCCCCCCCCCACACACACACACACAGATGCCCCTGTTCCTACCCATCCATTCATGTTACCTAATAGAATAATTTCTTCCCCTGGCATTCATTCAGGATGTTGTGCCACTTATCCTAAAACTCATCCTTGGTCCTCATCATCACTTCATTGGAGCATAACATGCAACTATCACCACCTATGAATTCTTACTTTCATATGCAGCTACAACAATCTACTTGACATCAAGTCATAATTTCTAATTTACATTTAGCCTTTTTATTCATAATTGAACTTACATCTTCACTTCCATGCATGTACTCATTAACTCCACAAGATCAAATCACCATCAGTCAACTCTTTTACATGCCTCCCTTTTCTTATAGTTTCAGAAACATACAGCATAACTTTCTTCCTTTCATTTCAGTCATTCATTCCTGCTCTTTACCATTTATTTCTCTAAATTTCAAATCACAATCTTTCATTACGCCACAGTCATCACCTAATGGGCCTATAGATATCAACCTCTGTGGCCCAACATGTCCTTGGTCAACTGATTTCATAGACTGCTTTTTAATTAGAAAAGAAAGAAGACCAGACTACCAGCCTCAGACATATTCATGCTACATGCAGCTTTCCCTATTGGTAAGGACAGTACTCATCAATTTTGGCATATTTTGGCCAGTATGCCACAAGTAGAGTTAAAGCTCAGTATTAGTCTAATAATGCTTATATTAGTCTGTGCAAGCTGAGATCTCTAATATAAAGAATACCTCGCAAGCCAACATATTGTTGCTCACTTCCCATCAACTAGGAGATATTTGCAGTATACTGATACACTCTGGAATAAATTGGCATTTCTTACACTGGTGAAATGTGCAAAGCAGAATCCCCCAGGCCACTTGGGGGCAATTTTGAGGCCCTGGATTCCCACCTGTTGCCAGAGACTAGCCAGGCAATCAGTAGAACTGCCTATCAGATAATTGGCCCTGCTATATATATTCCTCTCCAGCTTCCTGGATCTGGTCTCCTTCCTGGGATTGGGTGACTTCAATCTCCACCTCCTCGGTTTCAGAAAACCAGGAAATAGCCTGGGTGTGGGATCTCATTCCCACTGTGTGTGTTGATGAGTCCCTTTAGCTTGGAGGGGAGAGGAAATGGGGGAGGGGGGACAGTGAAGGGGGAAGAAAGTGAAGGAGGGCATTGCGGTAGTGATGGGCATGGGGAGGTATGGTGGGAGACAGGGGCAGGCCACTCCCAGGGAAGGCGGCCTCAGAGTTTAAGACCGATGGTACATTCTGGCCCCCTGTGCTTAGCACCAAGGTTTGGTCACCAGAGCTTGGCTTCCAAATGCATATACTTCAAATTTCAGAATTCCCCAACTAGCATTGCCATTGTAAAAATTCTGCTAGTTGAACTCTACATACCTGGAAATTGTCCAAGTTGGGAAACAAGTTTAAATATTGGTTGCTGGAAGTAGTAATAGGATATGGTTATCATCTAGACTTTCCAAGTATATCCACTGGTGACCGTGGACACAGAACATTGGACTAGTTGGGCTTATATACTGATCAAGCAGGGCTCTTCTTAATAATTCCACCAATTTCCTCCGCTTTTGACACAAGGTACATCATTTATGCATGCCAATAGAATTTATGCATTAAATACATATGAAGGGCTTATTTGCCTTAGGCTATAAGATGCTTTGATCCATCCCTAAATACATTAGTCTGTCCCAGGTTGCAAATAATTTAAATATTCATGCCTCTGTGGCCCAACCTAATTTAATTTAGGTCCAGCCTTACCCTAAATTAACATTCCCTGCTACCCATCCAAAACATAGGATATGCGGTTTTAATCATTTCATGCTTCTAATACAATATAGGTATAAAGATGCTCCTCAAGAACAGAAGCAATGCACGTTCAGAGTATTTTAAGGTCCTATTAAAGCATTTTTATGGATTCAACATTCACCTTTACTATTCACTTTGCTTTTATAAGCCAGTGAAGAGCATGGTCATTTTCACTGTGATATTCTTATAGTCAAATAAAAACAGAAGATATAAACCAAATTCAGTGGGTGTAAAAGGAGTGTTATATAAAATCAAACTAAGACCCAAGATATTTTAAGGCAAATATTTTCTTTAATAGTGCTATAAAACAGACCTCAGAGCATTGTAAAGTTTGCTCTCAAAATCTCATTGCTGTTGTTATAAGAATCCAATGGCTTTTCTAGACTTGCGGCTCATTCATAGATGTAACATATTAAAAAAAGAGTTTGACGGTGACAGCCACAAATGCTGACATACCAAACCTATTAGATCCACTATGCTGTGTGGCATAATTTTAAAAAACTATCTTCATGAGAGATTCTTGGATTCAGTTCCATATTTACAGTATAGAAACCACAAACCACAGTTCAATTATCTGGATTCTCCATGACGAGTTATTTTATTTATACACTAGGTTAAAAAATACAAATATTTCATCATTACAAAAAAAGCTTTATCAAACTGTGTACATACAGAGGGGTTGTCAAAGCCAACCTGTCATTAATACTTTATATACGTTTGGCTAATATGAGTGTTATGCAGAGTAAGAAGATTACTCCTCTGAATTAAATATATAAGCCCAGTTTTCGGTAGACTTTTGGCAATGGTCAAACTGTTTTCCATTATCAGCAAATATGTTCCCACAAAAAGTTGAAAGCAGTTTTATTGTTTTGAGACTTAGTAACTGTAACAAAGAGTTTGTAACACATTGCAGACAGAGACAGATATGCTTCCAACCTATGGATCTATACAAAAGCAGATGTTGCCGATCCTTCATGCCAGAAACAAAATAAATACATTCCAAGACACACAAAGCCATCTCTGAATAGTGGCAGGCACTTTCTGATAACTGAAGGTGATATTCTTCTGGTTGCCAAAAGCTGTCACGGCAAGGACTTGAAAGTTGTCAGAATCAAGACCACTGAATTGAGATTTAAGCAACATTCCCCTCCAAGACCTTTAAAACTCAAGTAAAAGAACAGATAAAAACGTTTGCCTGCAGCTAAGTGGCTGATTCATACAACCTTCTGGTATCTATGTCTTCCAGGGATGACTGTGTTCACATCTCCACTATAAATAAGTTTCAGCTTTCTTTATATAGCTACCCATCCTTGTCATTACAATGTTTGCTGGATATGGAGTTGAGATGATTATTACTTTATCCACTGAATCTCTAACTCAGGACTAAAAAAAAAGATTGAGGCTGCATATTAAGAGTCAGATTTAGCACCAATCTAAGCACAAGCATAAAAACACTTTTGGCAGGCTTTTCCATCAGACAAAGGCTTTTTCCAAAAGTTCATCTTAATGGATTTAAAGTGCACAGAAACCACCAAATAATGTCTTCTCCCCGCACCCACCACACCCCCTTCTATGTGCCTCAAACATGTAAAGCTAGAAGATCTTACCTCAATATCAAATTTTACAAACCCAAACCTTTCTAGGATTTTGAAGCAGCAAACACTATATTTTTTCTGCCCAATATACAATTTTGAAAGATTACACATTGCTTAACTATAGATACATTTTATTATAGGTCAATATGCAGTATATGCAGCAATACTTTTGGTTATTATTTCATCATTTATAGAACTGGCACTTTTAACTTGAAGAGAAAGGGGATTTAATACGATGAGATATAGTGCCATTTGCCTTGAAGCAATGTCTTTATGGCTACTTTCTATTTTCGTAATTACAAAGAAACTGGTAACAATTTGTCTCAAGTAGCACAACTAGACCAACTCTTTGGGATCCCCACTTTTTGTTGTTTTCAGTTAATTTAAAAAAAAATTCACCACTAGACTATACCCATGTAACTCTTGCAAAAGGTAATCTACGTTTGCAAGACAAGTAAGACTGCTAAAAAGAGCAATTGCTATGCAGCAACGGACCTCACAATTACATGATTTTAGATAACTGCCTACTACTTTCAATTTTATACAACTGATTTTTAGAGTATAACCCTAAAAAGCTAGGTGCCAGTATCAGAGGTGGAGAAGCCCAGCAGCTCTAGCTCATAGGACCAATGGTAAGGGATGCTGGGAGTTGTAGTTCAGCAACATCTGGAAGCCACAGATCCATATGATGAAGAATTATACAAATACCCAGAGAAAATAGTTCCACCGCATCCTTTTTCAACTCCCCTCTACCACCTCTGCAATTAAACAACTTCATAACTGACTTCTTGATTCAGTTGCAGGAAAAAATAAAAATAGAAGTGCCTGAATGTACATTTCTAGCTCTTGCATGCACAAAGCTTTACAGGACTGCAGTCTTAACCATGAATTCCAGACAATCCAAAGCTATTTTCTGTGTCAGGCACTGAACTCAAATTAAAGGCAAAACATCATGTTCAACATGATTATGTGTCACCTATTCTAAGACATCTGCATGAAGATTACTTATACTACTAAAAATACACAGATACTGCCACAAAGATAGATGAGAGCACACAGTAAATACATCTTCCATCTTATGACACTTCAAGCAGGCTAACACTGTCTGGTTAGTTTAATAGTCAGTTGTGATTATGTCTGATGGAATATTTTCCTTTCTGTAGCTGGGAAATATATAGTTTGGATTTGCTTCCATCAGGCCTCTTAAACCACACTTCATCATGGTTAATTGTTGTAATTATAGCACTGAAAAGGAAGAGGGAAAAGAGAAATTAGGAGCACATTAGTGTCCCTATACAACTACAGTATTACCCCAACCTGCATGGCAATTGATAAACAGGACTATAATTACTGGTAATAAAATGTAAAAATATTATAGCAAGTGCCTTGGGAAATGAAGGAAAACTAACAGAATACTACAACATTAATGCTAAAAGTATACTCAATACTGCTGCATTGGTTTGCAAAAAATTCACATTTGTAAACAGCTTTCCTTTGCCAAGAAAAAACATGTATGGATATATGACTAGATTCAATAAGAGAATAAGCAAATTGGGAACAGTGATATCTTCAGAAACTTTCATCTCTTTTGTTGTTTATCTATAGCAATCCTACAATAACCTAGGTATAAATCATTAGGTCTGTTTTATTTACAAAACAGCATTCCAGTAAGGTGAAACAGAGCAAAACTGGGATGCTTACTTTATTTCATCTATATTTCTTTTTCCTTACATAAAAAGAGACAGAGATATGTATACTGGAGGAAGACATGTTCAATGATTTCATCATATATTGTATGTACTTTCCCAGTGTTCAACTGGAAACTGGAACTTATTTTACATGAAACCTCTACAAAGGCTGGGATAAAGATTCCTAAAATAATGGTCTTCCTTGTACCAGTCTATGCATAACTAAACCAATGTGCTGGTTTAGCCAATGGACTTCATAGATACTTATGGTACAGAAACACAAAGAAGGACAATTTAAATGGGGATAGCAGTGCTAATGTGCCTAGTAACATGGGCATCTCCTCCTATTCACAATCCTGCTCTTTCCAACCCAAGCAACCACGTGGAGAACTTGCCACGATAATGAAAGGGAGATAATGTTCAGGAACTTGGGCATGCATGAAAAGGTGTACTGAACACTTCCTCCACTGATACATGGCTGCATCCAGCCATGTATCTTAAGTTATGGAATGTGCTTCCCAGTGGAGGTTAAGAAGTCTTCCTCCTTGAGGAATTTTTGCAAAGAACATCACATTTGTCTAATTAGACAATTTTACTTTTAATTCTGTACCACTTGCAGAATATGAGCATTTTGTTCAGGCTTGGATCTTGAATTCCACACAGCCCCAAATTCACTTTCTGTCTCAGGCACTGAACCCAAATACTTCTTTCAAAATACAATTTCAAGGACATTAATTAAGGTTCACAGTTATAGTTCTTGGGAAGCAGACTCAAGAGCTACAGAATACAGTACCCCATCAAGAATATTCTTTCCATTAGAGGCAGATGGAGTGGAAAATACAAAGGGAAAAAAAGGTTGGTTGAAGTGGAAATAAAAAGGGAACTAGTTGCCAGCTCTCCTTATTCTGCTCTGGCTGATGCTACCCTGCTAAGGATGCTTTGCTGTGGATTCCCACCCTCACCAGCTGCACAACTGTTATGCACAAATTAGCTACATATGCCCTAAACACATAAGACAGTAGGGGGAAAAATCCTTGAACTGTATTCAATTTATTTTAAAAAGTCACACCTTGTAGGGCATTCGTCTTTCCTATCAATACATATTGTCTGTCCACGTCCATACCATTCCCCATTATAATAGAGTCTTCCTTCCTCAGATCGTGTGCTGTGTAGGTGTTTTTCCAACTTGACAGGTGCTGGAAAGAGGTAGCGCAGACAATGCTGATGAAATGTAACAGTTGCTTTAAGAAGTTTTCTCTCTACTTTACACCCTGTTAATACATGCATGAGTGACTTTCCATTCGCTCTTAACCAGAAATAGATTGTAGATTGTTATTGAAAGTACATTCATACAAATGAATTCTCTTAAGTCAGCTATGCGATAGTTAGCTTGGGATCTAAATATTATGTATTACTCGCTAAATTTTATTCATGTTGTAACATTGTTTAAACAGATTTATTGTTTTGATAAGAACATATTCTAAACAAATTTATCAATTTGATTTGATCTAGGTGCCACCTGACTCAGGCCAACTCTTCTCAACTTTCCAAAATAACGAAAATTGTCCCCAAACCATCAAGGGCATGAATCAGTTTCCCACTATTGTCCTTATTATATTTAAATCTTCTCACATTCAGCTAGTTGCTAGGAACTGCAGCCTAACATTTAGGGTGGGAAAGGAAATGGAAAGTTGGGGAGAAGCTGCTGTGGATATTAGTATTCTACAAAGGATCACAGCATAAAAGAAAGGGCACTTGGGTACATCATCAGTGAATTCATGGTCACAGTGCCTCTGCTTTTCAGCAGCAGTGGAGCAGGGCACTGGCAGCTGTAATTGGCTGCTCCATGCAATTAACCGCGACAGTCAAATAAGTTGCCTTACGTTCTGCTTTCACTCTATGTGGTCCCAACGTAGCCATTGCCTGAAAAAAAAAGTTTTCATTTTTTTTTTAGTTATTCTTTAGGGTTAGGGTTAAGCTACCTTCTAAAGAAATTTCATTTTAAAGAACAATTTCACAACAACTCCTATGAAAAAATACACAGAGGCACAATTTGCTGTTCTAATGTTCAATGCCGAGAAGTGTGCATGTATCTATGTCTGTATGTCTGGTCAAGCTTAACTTCCAAGGTCTTAAAAACAAGGACTAAGATACCAGAAGGCCAGTGTCTGTCATGGAGATTTGCCTAAATACTGTAACCATCATCAAGTACCTTCCTGGTTGTGTTACATATTGTGGAGATTCATTTGGAATTAATTGGGAAGGCCTTTCCTGTTCTGCTGCCCACTCGGTGGAACATTTCCCCCCTAAAAGTAAGGTATGTTCCATTTTAGGTGCATGCTAGAAATGATTATTATAATTTAGGTGCATGCTGAAAATATTCACCTTGTTTTGAATTCCTTAAAATCACTCTGCTGAATTGCTCATGAATGTTGATATGATTTAATCTGTTTTATTATTTTGTATGTCTTATATAATTAATATGGCTGGGCATACTTCAAAAATGATTTGTTAGGAGCACTTCAGACTTCACATGAGTATAATAATTCTCTATTCATTAAAGTAAGAGTCTGAAAAGAAGTCATGGCTGTTTTAAGGGTCATGGAGTTTTCAAAGCATGCATAGCCCTAATAATTACTGTAAATAACTAACCAGTATAAATCTTCCAAAGTATAATTCTCTTAAGTATATTCTTGAATATATCTGGTTGCCTCTATTACTATAAATCCTTTTCCCCCTGCCATCACTACCAACAATCAGTATTTTCAGACATTTCTGCATCATTCCACCTATATCTTTCCTGCTAGCCCAGGTCTGCTTGCCTTACATGCCATATGGAATATAGAATCCATACAATAATATATATAGTTAAGGAAAGATACTATCCTTTGAGTACTACTTTAGAATGAGATTCTCTTTGTTATATAGTAACTTATAAGAACTGCAAACAGAGTCATGATTTCTGCCTTTCAGGCCTATCATTCTACTTTCTTAGATCCAAGGGACAGGTAACTTCATGCATTGCAATTATGCTAGATTTTCACTTTATTTCATTTCTTTTTGTTTGATGGTTTGTTTCAAATACCTGAGTATATATACACATTTGTGTAGGAGCAACCTATCAATCCATTATCAAACCAGCCAATAAGATCCACCATCATATGTCTCTTTTCTCACAAAATAAAGTTACAGGATCATCTTTTTCTTTATTTGCATAGTCTAAAAATGGACATATACCCATGACCTCTTATAAATACTTTAAAAACTAGGCATCATTCTTTGCCTTAAAAATATACATACTTTCCTTATTGTTGTCCAGTCTTCAAGTATATCAAGATCTTGTAGCATATACACAATATAGGGCCGTTAATATGTTAAGGAGGTTGTTCTTTTTCCAAAGTGGATTACATTAAAAAAATCTATATGTGTCACCCCCACTAAGTAGATCAGACCAGGAATCAACTCCAAAAGAAAGCTAAAACTACTTTTATTGAGAGTACTATAACAACAGAATGTGCAAGTCTGATTGTGCTGTACCTCTTCCCCTTCTTGTATCCATGTAAATTAGGGAGGTGTCTGTCTCAGCTGCTTCCACATACTTTTCGCTTGTTAGGATTTAACATTTGTTTTTCCACCTGTCGCTTTGGTAAGCGATCTCCCCTATGTTCATCAAGGTCATCTTTCTTACTCTCTACATCATACCACTTTGATACATGCTTGGTATGGTACGATTAAAGCTAATGTGATGCTAAATCCTTCTTAAGCATGGGGCATAAATATTTCCAAAAACTAAGATTTACCTTGAAGCACCAAGAGAAACACATTTTCTTATATGGATTTCTATACCATATATGCTCTCTTGAAAAAAGGATAGAACATAAAATCAATAATAACTAAAAGCATAGTAAAATAATTTAGAGAACTTCAGCTCCATATAATTAGCAAAAGTAAAGACTGAAATATAGTCTTATAGGTATGTTCACAGCCTTATTAGGCCACTTTGGAGCAGGAATAATGGAAGGTCATAAGTGTATTTCTATAAATTCATAAATTATTTTCCTACCACATTTATTATTTTTAAGCATTGACATTTAAATTAAAATGCATGCTTTTCATTATACAGCATTATATCCTTTCAAGCTCTACTTTCTGGGGAAAAAAATGATCTACACATAAATATCAAAGTCCTAACAAGTGAAAAGAAATCTGGGATAGGAGTGTTCATAACAAGATGCCAGCACCAATCCCACCTTCTCTTCAGCACTCCATCTATGACAATATTTAGAGGGGTTAATATCATGATATTATATTGCCTAAACCAGACATGTAATATGATAACTACTGTGGTCAAATTTATGCTTAGGCTTCAATCAAATATAGTGCTCATGATTTCTGTCACAAACTACCAGCCTATGTTTCCCTATGGAAGTTGTAGGAAAGGTGATATAAATAAGCAACAATGTAATTGAACTAATTATACCCAATAGGTAAGTTATAAAGATAAGAGTCAGTTTGGTGTAGCGGTTAAGACTTCAGGCTAGAAGCTGGGAGACCGTGAGTTCTAGTCCCACCTTAGCCACAAAAGCCCCCTGGGTGACCTTGGGCCAGTCACTCTCTCTCAGCCCTAGGAAGCAGGCAATGGCAAACCACTTCCGAAATCTTGCCAAGGAAACTGCAAGGACTAGTCCAGGCAGTCGCCAAGAGTCAACACTGACTTGAAGGTACCAAATGAAAAAAAGCTACGTTTACAAACATTCTTGGTTTGCAAGGACAGAAATGCATGGAGAAATAGATTGAAGAGTGTTGGTGTAAACTAAAATTAGTCAGGTTTTCTTTTTCTTTAGCCTTATCTCCTGCATTTCATTAATTTTGCTTACTACTTCTTACTCTTTTTCAGTGCTTTGCACAGTGGCAGCTCTTAAAGGATATCTGATACAACAACAGGTTTCTTCTTCTCTGGACTAAATAGATCCTTCCTTTTTTTCCTAGATTGAAGTTCATCATTCCATAACTCTGAGAAAGAAAAAAATGTTGCAGTTACACCTGTTTTAATCCCACAGTTCACAGGCCGTGCAGGCTGAGCACCTCTGAAAAGACAGGCTTCTACATTTTGAAAAAAAAAAAAAACAGGTTTATATCTTAAATGGTACTTAAGGTATTATGAGGGCTATTTTAAAACAGTAAGAAAAAAAGTTGCCCAAACTGCCACAATTGTGTTTGCTTTCCCTTACCCCCTCCCCACACTTACTTCTTCACAAACTACCCACCTTCAAATAGGTCAGGTGTTCAGAGGATGGTGAATTATCTATATGCATACATCCTTTAAGTCAGGGTTCCCCAAAGTGGTCAATATCAACCCCCAAGGGCCGATGGGACCATCCAAAGGGTCGTTGTTGTTATTATTCATAATACTGTTAGTTAAAGTAGCATTTATTAAATTACTTTCATATAATAAATGTTTGGGGATTGATGAACGATCTGAAGGTTCATGAAAGGGTCAATGAGCTAAAGAGTTTGGGGATACCTGCTTTAGGTTAATTTTAGATACCACAAGATGCCAGGGAGCAAACCCAAGGCCTCATCAAGAGGCATGAGCTAGCTCAGTATTTCTCAACTTCAGCAACTTCTCAGATGGGTGGACTTCAATTCCCAGCATGCTGGCTGGGGAATTCTGGGAGTTGAAGTCCACCCATCTTAAAGTTGCTGAGGCTGAGAAACACTGAGCTAGCTGATCAAATTTTTGAGGGAGAATGTGCAAGCAGAAGGCAAATCTGAAGAGATAACTTAAGGCTCTTATTTTAGTTCTTCTCAATTAGGTTTGTAGACAAAATAGGTTCTATTTTAGATTAAGATCAACTAAATATGTGCTGCGATTCACTGCAATCTTCATTACATGGATTCTAATTTATTTGGATGGTTACCCATCCATTCAAGCTTTATATGTTGAATAGTAAGTTACCTGAGGTAATATCAATACTATGCCGGTCTTCTTCAAGCCGTCTGATTTTCTCTTCTAGTTCACTCTGAACAGTGTCATACAACAAGAGCTTTTCACTCTGAAAGGAAAAATTAATAGGGTATTCATGCTGAGAAAGTTATGTGAAGCAGATAACATGTTCACAAATAGAGATGTTCTCTTTTCACAGAAATTCCAAGGGGGTGTATGTTATAACAAGGGTTAAAAGAGATTTTCTTGTCCCAAATATTATTTAAACTCCACAAAATGGAAAGTCTAGTTTCATAGATATGGAAAATAAAAAGCTACTGAATAAAGGCAATACTAAGAGCTACAGAAAAGTGGAAGCACATGCAATTCCAATAAAACAGAGATGCCCTAAACGTACTACACAAAGCAAAGGCCTCCACTTTTTAAAAAATGTTTTATAATTTGTAGCTTCTTTAAAGTCAAGGCCAAACAAAACAAAGGAGACCCTGAAGTTTTCTAAACCCTATTTATATGCAAAAAGTATCCAGATGGCAAAAACTTTTATACCTGTTATACTCATCCAGATCTGTTTTGCCCAGTAATGACCAGCCTTGTCTCTAGAAAGTTTCCTGCAGGCAGGAATTTGAGATTTGCAAAGTTCATATAAAGAGTTAATGCTGATGCAGTGATATTTCTGATACTGTGCGAGCAGAGATCCATATGATGCTTAACATTCAGCCTGGGGCTACTGGCTGTTGACCAAGCCCTATTTTCATGTGTGTTTGAATCTGGTCTGTATATCTTCAAATGATTAAGGACTGTATGAGATAATGTAATGGTATGTGGGAATGACCATGGGAAATAGAGGGAAGAGCCACAGCCAGGGGAAAGGTCAGATAAGAAGCAGCTTAGCCTGCAGAAGGAATGTGGGTATAGCAAACATCTCAGAAGGGACCCTCTCTAGTTTCTTGGGTTATAAAGGTGATAGGGGAGAAATGTACCTTCAGACTTGCAAGGTTCTGTTAATGTAACCTTACAGTAAAGTAGAATTAGTTCATCTGGGCATGCATCCTGTCTGGACTACCTTGCAAGGCTGACAGGTAATAATTTCAATCAGATAAATAATGGTTTATCAAATTAGGAATAAATTGGGTCCTAAAGCCTTCCTCACTTATCAGCATCAGATACTGATTTGGAGTGAGACTTTAAGCAGAGTTTCTTGGTTCATTGATAATGAAAGGCTTTGGTATCAGATATTTCACCAAAGGTAGATGGGTGTATGAGATCATGGGAAAGAAGTAGTTAAATAATTTGACACAGTTTGTTCCTGTTTATTTATCCACCAAATGTGCATTCTGCTGTAATAGACTGAAGACTCATAAAATATAGTTCATGAGTCTAGGATTGTTACGAATGAATTGGGCTTTAACATCACAAGTGGAAATCTACTAATCTTATACCTGCTTCTGGTATCTTTAAGAACATACAGTACTTTGCAAAGGTTTTAGGCAGGTGTGAAAAAATGCTATAAAGTAAGAATGCTTTCAAAAATATA